CGGCTGCGGCGCTCCGGTTCCTCGCGCAGAACGTCGGGGTGCCGCGCGACATGGCGCCGGCGCCGGCGGCGGCGCTACGGGCCTGGTTGCGGCTGCTGGTGGCGGCGCTGGAGCAGCGTGGGCCGGGTAAAGGGATTGGACGGCCGCGGCAGTTGGCGCGGAAAGAGTCAACCGGGCCGAAGAGGAGTACAGGCAGTCTTCCATGGCAGAGCGAAGCAAAGCTTTTTATTCCTTTCTGATCTTTGTGGTCTTTGTGCTTTTGTTTCATGCCACGCCCTCGTTCTCGAATCGGGTTAAACTTGTTGAGATACGGACATGTTGCTTGCTTTCACCCTAAGAATCCCGGCTCTCCAACACATAGGTTTGTTTCGGGTCACCCCCCTACTATGGAGAGTCCGACTCCTGCCATGAAGGGCCCAAGGATTCTTAGGGCCGGTTTGGTGGCCCACCTGAGCCCCACTGCCCTGGTGCCCGGTGCCGCCCCTCTCACCCAGGCTCACCCTCACCTTCGACTCCAAAGAGCTTTGGCCGAGCCAAACTGAGTCGGAAAAGCTTCGACTCACCTCGTCCGTTCGATCCGACACCACTCGACCCACACGATCCGTTGGAGCCGTGGTTTCACCCGTCGTGGTGGGCCGAAAGGAGCCCAGAAATCTGCAGCAACGGTTCGGTTGAGTCCCTTTGGTAATCGGGCCGTTTCCCTTAAGCTTGGAGTGCTACACACGCCAAGCTTTTCTACAACATTTGGGTGAATCATGTGAATGCGGCAGGGTCGGGGCAGGGTCGGCAGACCTCTTGAGAGTAGACTCTAAACGTCAGGTGGTGCACACCTGCATCCCATGTCACGGATGACCCAAGGGTGTAGTTCACCGATGCCTGAATTACAAGACATGTCGTCAAGCCCCCCAAGTCCGGTTTTTGGCCAAATCTATCTTACAGGTCAGGAACGGGCCGCATTTTACTGGAGTTGGTCACACAACAGAAACACTCCACCGCCAGGTGCAAGAGCTCCAGGGCCGCAGCTGGCAGCGGGTGCTGCTGAAAGGGCGGAGGCAAGGCCGGCGATGGTCCATTTGGAGTGGATCAGCTGCAAGACATTTTTCTCCAAACAGTTTACCGTCTTAAGAGGTGTCATTGACAATTGTTATACAAAGAAGGACATACTGTCTCTGAACCTTATTGTTTCGATTTACTGTTAGGGGTTCTCAATCCTTTCTTAAGATGTGTCCGCCCTTTCTGTCACTGCTGGTCTACGGTGGTGTAATTTGGGATTGGTTTTCCGCAAAGTTACTACTAGTAGCGTGGCACTTGTTTCTACTAGCTTCTTGTTACTACTAGTAAGGCACTTGTTCCTAGTAGCGTGGCACTTGTTTCTAATAGCAAACAATGAACAGGTGGACCAAGAGGTCGACCTTTCCAGGAAAACGTCTCGGGAGTCAAACGTCGAGTAGAGCCGTGCAAGGACTAGGCCTGACTAACCTCGAGTAGTGCCGGTTGGAGGTGAAGACCAGGGGACTCAAGACCTGTCAGGAACTCTGCCAGGGAGAACAGTAGAATTGTTGTAGATCATGGTCTCCCAACCGGTCGCGTCCACAGCATGTAGACCGCTCGTGCCTTCCTGATTCCAGGTGCAGGACCGTTTCCGCTTGCATTGATGACCTTTTACTATTTGTTGGTTAATTAATAGAGGGAATACCCCCAGTTGTGTACCACCAATAGGTATATCAATGGATCAATGGTACACACCGACCCCTCTATTCTTCCCAAAGGATATCACTGTCCGCGTGTTTCTTTTCCTTTGTTTCGACCAACCCAAAACGGCGCAACTGGACCTCTATATCAAGCCGTCAGAAATGAATGGACCTTGGGTCGCCTCTTCTTCGTTGGTCCCTGCAGTTGTATTGGAGCAGAACAGGTTTCGTGGCTGGTGGGAATCTGCAGAATCCCAGCTTCACTCATTTCTAGTTGCTGTACTCCCCTGCAGACTAACATGGAACCCAGCTCGTTCGACCGCCGCGCGAACGACGGGCTGGCCCGGAGGGACTCGGTGGAAGCGGGTGGGATGAGGCTCATGGTGCCTTGGAGCAGCAAGGGATGAGGTGAAAGTGAGGAGGGCCACCTTTCAGTCACAGGTTGACTCCTCTGAAGAGGGAGGAGATTCTTCAAGTGACATGTCAACCTGCTATATGGGTTTTAAGGTGGTTTGGACCTGTTTGGACTCAAGGCCGAATGGAAGTTCCACCCAAGAAGAACCAAGCTGAAATTAACCTGACCGATCTTTGATCCAGCTGGATTCCCTTTGAGGAGAGAACAACACGTTCTCCCCCTGCCGGGGCCGTCCACTCGGAGAATGACATCTTTCTCCCACAAAGAATATGGATAGGGTCTGTGCGAACTTACCTGTAACAGTCAGTAAGCAATTATGATCATTTTTGAACAAGGCCTTTACTAACCATCATCATCCACTGTTGCAAATAATAGGATGGACCCCAAATATGGAACCTCAACCCTATAGTAGCGATGGCCTCCAACCTACTAGTTGTGGAGGAACCTGGTCTTCCAGGATTGGGAAGCCCCATGTTCCGAAAATGCTCTGACACAAGGAAGGGATCCAAAAGGAAGTCCCCACAAAAACTCGATGCAGTCGAAATGCGTCGTGCGCTGCGTGCCTGAGTCAAATGCAGTCAAATCAGATGGATGATGGATGTATCAAAATAGGGAGACCTCCCACTCTGGAAGAATTGACCTAGTCCCAAACCCAGATGTGCCGTGGTCGGCTTGGCCAGCCACCCAAAGGCCGTCGCGCCGGTGTTTCGGGTTTCGGGCCACCGAACAAGGGGGGCGTGTCGTGCGCCGGGCGCCGGAAGCGGCCCCCGAAGCGGTGTGCATGACATCGATGCTCCGTGGCACTGGTCCAACCTCTATGGTTCGATGGTTGAGACGTTTGACGGAGGGATTGGAGATCGACCACAGACGACCTTGCAGTTGTTGAAGATGACACCAGAGACTCTGCTAAGCAGCAGATAGCTGCATCACCAATGTAAGCTGGGGCCACGATCTACTGTTTGAAGGACACCTACGTGAGCTGGGCACTGGGCGCCTGTTCCTCCTACAGACACACTTGGCGAAAGAATTAGGCAGGGAGACTCTGCAAAGGGGGCAACCTAATAGCAAAAGGAACCCAAGAGCGATGGCCTCCAACCTAGCAACATACAGCTCCATACAAGTTGGGCACTTCTTCACGACTGGAGCCTTCGAAATGCGAGATGTGGCCGTCGAGCTACAGCCAGCAGTTCTTCCTCAGATATTTCAATTCAGACAAGCCAAGCACCAGATTTCTACAGCCAGGTCCTTGACCCTGCAACACTATGCTGGACTGACTTGCCAGAGTTGCTCCACCGCGGAATGTCAGAATTTGTGAACCAACGTGAAGCTACGTCTCCTGACTAGTTTTTCTTACTTGCGTTGCACGATATATATTTTCGTGATGACGCTTTCTACTCATTTTGTTTGGAGAACTCTCGTCCATCTCTCTCTCTCTCTCTTACAAAGCACGCCGACAGGGCAGTTGAGGAAGACTATGACCTCCTCATGTGGCCGTTGACGGACACATGGATAATGAGTGACACCTCAAAGACTGCGAATATAGCAGCCCGTATGCTGGAACCAGCTCCAGTATGCCTTTGGCATTTTCTGCTGGAATTAGGGACTCTTGATCCCACCTTTTTTGTTGTGTTGAACACTTGGGCCTCATTTTGCCTCGGGTGGTGAGAGCCTCCAGCCTCCGGGGAAAGGCAGGCCGAAGAATGGGACCTGGCCAGTGAAGTTTGTCTTGCCGCCAAGGAGTTCGAAAGTGGTGAGAACTAGCTCTGGCCGACAGTCCACTCCAAGTGAACGGACCTGTGTTCATGACCCAGTGAGAGAAAGGTGCCAGTCAGCACCCCTGGCACAGACTGCCAGGCTGCTTATGGCTGTTTTATGCTGATCTTTGTAGCATCACCGCACCTTCCCAGCTGCTACTTTACTATATTTTTCGGAGCGGTCCCGCAGAGATGAACACCACCTGCTTTGGGTTTGGGATGGGTCAGTGCCCTGACTCTTCGAGACCCTCAGCAGCTTGTCTCAGTGGAGGACTTCCGTCGAACGCCTCCTCGCCCCAGGAAGGCGTCTTGAGACAGCGGCCTTGGGCTGGGGCACCCCAGAGCGGTCGAGTTGGACCTCCTGTTGCAGGAATTGAAAAAGAACATGTCCAATCGATGGTGAACATCGCAGGGGTCAATTGATAGCGCTGTGATTCTTGTTTGGTGGTTTCAAATTGAGGAGCACTGAAGGCCATAGAGCTACTTTTGAAAGCAACCCTCTGCTGGCAATGACTCGTAGCTGGCAATGACTACATGAGTTCGATGCAACATCCGGGTGCCTTGAGGTCCGTTTGTTGTTTTTCTTTGCTTTTCTATGGTACGACTCAGAGGATACTGCAAAACGCCGCTCAAAAACGCCGCTCAAACAAGGGAGTCACCCGAAAAAGCGCTAGTCCTTTTATCTCCATCCCCCTTTTCCGGAGATTTCTCCGGAAAAACTCCCAAACAAGACGACCTCTTCAGATGGTCACCATGCAGTGGTCGGGTTCGAAGTATAGGTCGGCTTTGTATGACTTGGATTCATGTAACTCTTCGGTCTATGAGGGCGTCCCTCTTCGGTCCACCGCGCCGACGACCCGACGACGTCTTTCCGACGACCCTCGCGGTCGCCGTCGGGACGACGGACGGGCTCCCGAACCGACGAAGCGTCCGAGCGACGAGAGCCCCTCAGACCAGGCTCCAAGCTAAGGGCAATGGCCTCCAAGCTAGTAGCGTCCTTTCTCCTAGTAGAGATGCCAGGAGCCCCGTTCGTAGCGTCCTTGCTCCTAAGAGCAAGGTGGAGTCTGTGGAGTCTTTTGTGGTCGGACCTACCGTCGCCGAGTGGTCGCCGAGATGGGTCGGAACAAAGATGCTCCAAAAACGCGCTCGACCTTCTCCCCATGTACACCCTAGAAACTTCACATGACAGCTCAACACCACCCCATGGTGGTAGAGGGAAACTGACATCGTCTTTCAAAGCTCCACGCCATCAGGTTCCATGACGGTTCCATGTCCCCCCCGTGAGCGACGGCTTTTTGCACACCTGGCGAAGTCTACGCCAGGAGGAGCCGGTGAAAGAACTACCAAGACCTGAGGAGTGGAGTGGAGCTGCTCGTTTTGGGGGATCAGCTTCCAACGCTTGGTATGTGTTGGTATCTAGACCCCCCAATACCCTAGGCTTCCTGACCCACCACGAAGTTAATAGGCTGAATCTCGAAGCACCATGGTGTTGCCAAGGATTTTACACTACAAACCAGGTGAACCATTCTTTTTATGGTCTTGGAATCTTGGAAGTCTAGGAAATAGATAAAACCATGCATGAACCAGTAAAATCCCTTTCAACATGCATTGGAAGATATTGGAAGTCTGCCACGACCTCCGGGACCATGCTTGGGGACCGTGTTGGGGGGTCTTTTGGACCTCTTTGTGGGACATGCGGACCCCGAGTTTGCACCCACAGTTTTAAGGACGCAACATCCTGGGAAGAACATCCTGGCGTTCTCAACTTGCTCCCGCCGTAGCGAGCTGCGCCGGAGCGACGGTAGTGAGACGGCCTCCACCGGGGCACCTTGGCATCCTGATGCTACCTTCGTAGCATCGTTCAGCATGGGAACCGGAGCAGGGTGGCGTTCCTTGCTGCTTCCGCGCCATCTTAGCGTTCGAGCAAGACACCTAGCGAACCTAGCCAGGTCGACACTTGGGAAATCCTGTTGCCCTACAAGCCAAACTCTTCATGTTTTCTTTTGAGTCTCAGTGTCCAGTCCAGTCCTGTCCTGTGCTCTCTCTCTCTCTCTGTCTCTCCAACCGCTTCACTCCTTCGAGTGGTTCAACAACCAACGTCCGAAGTTCGCCTCAGTTCGCCACAAACCCCTTCAAGTCCACCCCGCCGTTCGGAGGGGAGCCGTTCAGTCGGAACTGGAGCAGGACTGAAACCGGCCAAAAAGGGCCACCAGCGAGCCACCAAGGAGCCAGACTGGAGGAGTACCAACTAGCCCAACTGAGCTGCCGCAGCTAGCCACTGATGCCCAACTGCATGCCGCGCTCCGCGAGGAAGGTGGCTTCATGTTTTGGGTTCAACGTCCAAGGTCGTCTGTGACGGTGTGGTGGTCCCACATCGGTCCATTCATCGCCCAACATTCCGGGACAAGGTCGACCAACACGGCGTCGCGTCCCTTGACGCGCACGTCGCGTCCCGCACGCTACGTTCGGGTAGTATGGCCAGGAGCGCCCCGTTCGCAGCTTCATGTTCCTCGTAGTCATGCTGGGAGCGCCCCGTTCGTAGCTTCTTGCTACTACTAGCCATGCACTTGTTCCTAGTAGCCGATGCCCTTAGCTACCTGAGCCACGACGAAAGGCGACGACCTTGGTCGCACGGCCGGCCGTTCTTCGCATCGGCTTACCTAGGCTCGAAGTGCTGACGGAGCAAGTAGACGAGTCAGTGCGACCGGCACGAATCAATATATTTAAAGGATGGGTGAGACGGCCGGTTGCGACCTTTCACGCCTGTTTGGGTCATTGTAAAAGGTACACAGAGCGCAACATGATGCTGAGATTGTTGTCCGAACGTAGACCTAGAACTGCGGATTTCCACATCTCTCACCCACGAAGTCACATGCTGACATTGGATAAGTTCGGGACACCATCCACAGACACACGGGCGTTCGCCTGCTCGTTCATCACGGAAGTGGTCACCAGGAGCCCTGGGCGCTTGGATTGTGAGGTCTACGTCGCGGATGGACGGCGCGTCACGGCGGAGGCAGATGGACGGGGGGGGCAGATGGCCAGATGAAGTGAATCTGTGGCCAGATCTGAATCTAGTGATGGCAGATGAAATCTGAATCAGATCGCAGAACCATTTCCTATGTAACGATTTCAAGCAAGCCATCTTGGAAACAACCAGACTTGTTTCTGGTTGGGACTGGGGTTCCAGGAGAATAACATGATTCTAGATTCAGATTTCCATGGCCGGCGTCTTTCTTTCGCACCTCATGACTGTCTGTGTGGATAGGGGGCTTGTGGTTTGGTCTCTGGTGCTATGGCGACAATGAACTCTGCTTGCCAACAATGATTGGCCTGGCCACAGGCTGTCACCCCCCATTCACTCCATTGAATGGCGCAGGGCACAGGCCCGCCCACCCGATTTGGATTCCAAGCACTCATCCCGATGAGCGGCGGGAGGCGTATGATTGGTTCTGGGCGTCGGGTTGGCCCGTCCCTGGCTGGTTGGTGATCACTTAGCGTCTTTGCTCCGTTCGCAGCGATGCCCGAAATGCTCCGTTCGTAGCTTCTTGCTCCGTTCGTCACCCTAGTAGGATCCTATAGTAGTAAGGCCAGGAAGCCCTGTTCGCAGCATCCTTTGCTCCGTTCATCGGATCTGGGACCCCTCCATCTTTCCCGAACGGGTCGGATCACCTGGACAGACGGTCCCTGAAATACTCGGTGGTCCCAAGGAGTGACCCAACACCTAAACGCTGATTCGGAGTGAGTGGCCATCCGAACGAGTGAGCCGAGCCATCCCACGTCCACGGATTCTTCCAGGGGAGGGTACCATTTGGTACATGACTTGGAAAAAGGGAATGGGATCCTTGGCGAGGTCATGGTCAAGATACTCTGCCCGCGCGCGCCGCTGCGGTTTGGCTCAGTGCCATCCCTGTCAGGCAAGGGCTTGACATCAGAGATCTTTCCAAAGATTTGAACGATGGTGAATCTGCAATGCCCAAAACCATGTGAGGAAGATCACTTGTGAGCATTGCTGACTTGGTGCATTGCTGACTTTCAACTTCCAGGTCATGAAGCTCCGACTTCCAAGAGAAACCTCCACAACTGTAGCATGGTCGTTGCCAGCCTCATGTGTCAGAGTCCCCAGGACTCTGAGGACCTCCTCGCAGCTCTGGCAGATCCACTGCTGGGACGTCCCGATGACCTCGGATGCCCCGATCCGTCGAAGATCCGCTGCTCTGCTGCCTCGACGCCTGACACGGCGCCCAGCACGCCGCGGCTGGGTCTGGCAGGCCACGGAGCGGATGACCCGATTCGTCGTTGTACCAGGATGACCCGATTGATCATGTAGGCCCACCCGAATCATGTACCAGTGCACGGTCGTGGTGGTGGTGGTGGTGGTGGTGGTGGTGGTGGTGGTTGCTGGTGTATCTTTTTTGCGTGGGATCAGATAGGATAAGCTAGCTGTTTCCAAACACCCTGATGGCTGAATTCACAGGCTGAATTCACAACTGAAGGATCACTTCGCATAGAAGCGTGTGCTTCTCATATGCATCCAAGTCATACTCGTACTTCGCATGTTCTGCTTTCTGCTGCTTGGCTGTGTGGGTAGTTTTAGGCGTTATGGGTCTAGCGGCACCTGCCGTTTTGGCGACGGCAGAAGATTGTTTCGCCCCGAGCCAAGCCCCAGAATCCCAGAAGGTTCGTACCATAGAAACTTGCTGGCTGCAAACTTCTTGCAAGTTTCTATGGTACGGACATCCAACGAAGGTGAAGAGCCCTTGATCATACATGGCATCGATGACGAGCTGCCGAAACGCACGGTTTCGGCCAAGAGCCTCCCTGATCCTTGGTTTTTGCTGATCCGATGATTTCGTTTTGATTTGCTCTGTCTTTCAACGCTCTATTTTCTCTTTCATTCAAACAACCTCACAGGAAAAACATCACAAGAACATCCGCCTGGCTTCGGGCTCTTCCGCCGCTTCCGCGCGCGCGCGCGCGCGTCGCACCGAGGACCCCGCGAGCCCTAAGACGGGCACGGCGCCCCTGGGCAGTCCCGCTCGAGTCCGAGCACCGGACGGAGATGGTGCCATGATGTCGGTGAGTGAAGCGAGTCACTGGGGCTGGGATGGGAGGGGAGGGAGTGAGAGTGATGGGATGGCTGGGATGGGATTGGAAAGGATATTGTAATGTAATGTAATGTAATGTAATGGTATGTATGGTATGGTATGGTATGGTATGGTATGGTATGTATGTATGTAGTTAAGTTATGTTATGTTATGGTAGTGTATATGTAATGTAATGTAATGTAATGGTATGGTATGGTATGGTATGGTATGGTATGGTATGGTATGGTATGGTATGGTATGTATGTATGTATATAGTTAAGTTATGTTATGTTATGTTATGTTATGTTAGTATGTATGTATGTAATGTAATGTAATGTAATGTAATGTAATGTAATGCAATGCAATGCAATGCAATGCATGTATGTATGTATGTATGTATGTATGTCGTATGTATGTGTTAATGTAATGTAATGTAATGTAATGTAGTGTAGTGTAGTGTAATGTAATGTAATGTAATGTAATGTAATGTAATGTATGTATGTATGTATGTCTGTATGTATGTGTGTATACAGTTACACCTTTTTCTTTCAAGATATGCATTCGGAAGAATGCAGTTTGAAACGCAGGCCCCATGCAGAATTAGTCATCTGCATAGTGGAAGCCTTTTTGTGGGGAGGATTCCACGTGCTGAAAACTCCCAAGGCGGACCCGTACTGGTCCCACTAGCACTTCGGTGCAAAACAGTGTAACCTGAAGGTACTCACAAGTGGCTTCTGCAGCCTTTCCTTGCTGGCCTGGATTTGAGGGAAAAAAGGTCATCTACTTTTGAGGTCCATTGGTTGGCACAAATTCTGCTTGGATGCAGTTGCAACTTTGCTACTTCAGCATGATGGAATCTGATGATCAATCATAGAACGTTTATTGTTGACGAGCTTCTAAACCTTTGCTTGAAAGAGACACTCCAGAGTCCACGCCATCATCCTGGAATGCAGAGGGTTTGTGATTTTCAGATGTGTTCAGATACCTCAAGCATCCCGAATCAGAGTGCTATTGAGGCTTTACTTTGCTGAATTTCCTGATGAATGTGGGTCAATTCACCCTGCCCGTGCTCTTTGTTCGGCATGGTTGGTCTGCAGTTGTGCTGATTGTCATAGGTTCCATGCTTTGTGCCCATACAGCGCTTCTGATGGCAGACTCCTTGGTACAGTTCACTTGGCATGTGCCTAGCATCATTCTCACTTTTGTGGTGATTCCGCAATGCCTGGAAGAGTCAGCAGAAGAGCACCGCACGCACATCACTAGATTCGGTCGTACTTGTATGGAGAGATACCGTTAGAGCTAGGTTAATGCTTGAGTATTTACACTGAGTATCATTAGATTGATTAGCAAGTGAATCGACAGGTAGGAGATAGGCAGATGCTTAGGACAAGCAGCGGCTTAGGACTACCATTCTTCTGCCTAGATGTTTAAATGGTGCAATTGAACAGTGGGACACCTGAGGCTCATGCGCAGGGGTGTGCCAACACCAGACTATGCTGAGTTAGCCGTGGCAGCTGTTGGGCAAAACTTTGCGCTGTTGGCACATGCCTGTAGTATGACAGAGCTTCTCACCTACAACTGTATGAATCTCATAGCTCTGGGCAAGGGGGTGGTGTCGGTCTTTCCAATGCTCAGCATGGAGACTGCCATGTGTCTTTGTATAGCTATTTCTATTGGACTCAGTGCTGTGCCGGACCGACACTTTGCGTACATTGCGTTAATTGCAGCCTTGGCGATTTTGGCAGCAGAAGGAACTTGCGTTTTGGGCGGCCTCGAATTGCCGGAGTGGGCGCCTTGTCTCGTTTTGGTCATCGGCACAGAGAGACAGAGACAGAGAGAGAGGGCTCGCTGCACAAGTGTGATTCATCCTCCATGTTTTGCCATTGGGGACTCCATTGGGGCCATCACCAAAAAACACCACCATGAGAATCATAAGAAATCAAGAAAAAAAAGAGACGCACACGGCCTATGGACAGCGGTCAACAGCTCTTTCTTGGCCTTCAAACATGTGCGTTCATCGTGAGGAAGAGCCAGAGCTGCTCTTCAGCCACCCACTTCAGATCCCAAGTTCATTTGCGTTGATCATCTTCGCCGCTGGAACTCACCCCTTGATCCCTTGTTTGATGCACAACACTGGCACACGCGAAGACTTTCGCAGCTCGATCCTGATCGGTTGGGCAATGTTCACGGCCATCTCGCTGGCATTGGGAGGTGGCTTCTTCTACATTTACGGAGCCTTGTCTTTGTGAATCTCAAATCAATGGATCCACATTTGCTTGAAACCAAAAGCTAGGATATCATTTAGGTATATGACACTTAATGAGCGTCCCAGTTTTTCCTAACCTGTTTGCATTTGTTTGCCAGATTTTGCTCAGACCCATCAGCACTTGGCGTGAGGATTTTCGATTCAGCCGCTGATCACGGACAACACGGGCCGAGACTTATCGCTCAAGACCGTGCCGGGAGGTCGAGCACTGCAAAGAATGTCCGGGATGCCTGACTGTGAATGTTTGTAAGTCGCTGGTGGGTGCTTTCGGGGACATCTTCGATGCCCAAAGTGACTGATGCTGTACCCGCCGAAATGATGGGCTTGAACCAACCAACCAGCAAGCCATTTGGGGAAGGTTTTTTCAACGAACTCCCTCCAAAAGAGGATGTGCGCTCGCTTTCAGCTGCTTCTACCCCTCAGCCTCCGGGTGGAGGGTCCGGGTGTTTTGGGTCCCAACGATCCCGAGGATCTGGGTTTCAGTGAAGCTACTTGCTGCCATCGTGCCTGTGACGCGACCAGTGTCCCAAGTGATCGCAAGGAAGATTGGGATTCAACTCTCCGTTGGCAATGGCGGTTGGAGGCCATGGGGCGTTGGGCGCTTTTTCCCGTTGGCCAACGGGACCAGTCACGTCCAGGAATTGATGTTTACGGGCTTAGATAGCAGCAAGATGGGATGACCTCTCTCTGGGTATAATGAGTGAGATCACCCCGCCACTGTGAAGTAGTGAACCCTACCCACAGCTTCCATGCCATAGTTTCAGAGAGATTTGATATGATGTGTTATTTGAATTCCAACTTCCACCTACATCCTCGGTCCTCGTCGGGTCGTCGCAGTCTGGATAGGTCCTGGTCGTGCCATCGAAGGGAGCAGACTTCGTAGATGGCATAGCAGTTGGATAGACCCTCCCCCTGTGGGGGAGGCCTCCCCCCCCACCACATTAGATGGCATAGCTTTTTCGAACATGCATGGTTTTCAATATGTTTCTCGAGCAAGTTCGATGGTTTTTGACTTGATATGCTAGTGACTCGGAGTGTACATTGTTCAGTAGGGTTCTTTTTTCTCTGCCTGAGCTGTTGGTCTTTGGATCTTCTACCAGGTTTTTGTCAGGTGTCATGACTTGCGCAGCTAGTCACTGGCACGCTCCCCAGAGAAAGGTCGATGCTGCTCACCCTTCCGACTTTGACCTTCATGCTCGTCAGTGCTACTTTCATGCAGAACGAAATCGCCAGGTTCGAGAGATTCTCGGTGGTGACAAACTGCAGTTTTTTTTTGTGTCTCGCATTTTTTCGCGGGAAGATCAGACACTCGACATTTGCATTCTGATCATTTTAAAGTCAAGTTGGGAAAGATACTCCCATTTATTTGACCTTATCTAGGAGTTCATCATCCTAGGTTTGATCGGCGGCATTGCAATGGGCTTCAATGCCCTGACTTTTCCAACTGTCACTTACCTCCAAATTTGTCGGCCAAAGAGGTTGGAGCAACGCATGAGTGCTTATGCAATTTGTGCATTAGGGATGGCACTTCCAGTGTTCCTCGTAGCATCCCCATGAATGACCTGTCGCATGTACCACGAGGCGCTGGATTTGTACAGATCACAAAAGTGATTCCTAAGAGTTGGGGACCTCGATGGACTTTGCTGAAACCGACCATTTTCGAGGAAGGAATGCGGCTCCCCAATTCTTGGGAAACACTTACAGGCCTCATCGGTTGTCGATATGTGTATATGTTTGAGTTTTGCAAGGCGGTCTGGGACAGCCAGGTTCTTGTAAGCTATGTCTAGGAAGAATCCAGATTTGCCTTGGAGGCTCCTATCTTTGGGGTATTTGACCTAATGAACCTGGAGTTTCCCAATTGCCTGTTATTGCACAGTGCGAACTGCTTTCTAAAAAGGGCGTGACTCCTCTGAGAGCACCTGCTACAATGATCTACGGCGTTGCACACAAATTAAGCGCAGTAGCTGGTTGCCTCATCGCCGGAAAGCTATCCAAAGACTCAACTGCCATATACGCCTGCTGCAGACCCGGAAAAAAAGGACACAGCTGGCCGGGCCGTTCAAGGGTTACACTCAAGTTCGCCAGATGGTGTGGGGGTCAACTGAGGCACTCCGCAAATCCAATCGATTCGTCCGAGCGTTTCTGATTCTGACTCACACCGGGGTGTACTGATTGAGCAGACGAACAGATGTGGTTCCGCGACCATCGGGTCAACGACCAAACCCGCTGCAAACCCGCAGCAAACCAGCCCTTTGACCACGAAGCTTCGTGCGGATCGGCTCGGGTGGGGGGCCCACTGACGGTGGCCGAAGACTGACTTGGTGTTTTCATGTCACCAAGTCGCACCAAGTACCAGGGGCCCGAACCAAACCATGAAAAACAATGGTGTTCACATACCAAAAACCCGTTTTTTTTGCTATAGAAAGCCAGGTTTTTTGATGGTTTGTGGGGCCCCTGGTATGAGATGAACGATCGAATTTCAACTCTACTCTGACTCGCAAAGGATTTGACCTCCACTCCCCCGACCTGCCTTCCACTACGGTGGTCCGTGGATTTCCCGACGTTTGACGGACCGCGGACCGTGCTTTGCAGCGCGGACGGTGCTGGAGACTGGGGATGCTGTGCTGGGGCCCCTCATCAAGGGTGCGAACCTGGTGCCCCCGAAGAGCCCGCCAGGGCGAGTTGAGGGCACCGAAGGTGAGTTGCGGCGTCGAAAAAGCGTCTCCGTCGCTGCACGTCGCGTGTGCCGGTCAGTCGCCACCACCAAACGGTCCGCGTCGTGTGCTGTCCGACTGGACCTTTTGGGGCTCGTAGATGGGCGAGAGCCATGACTTTTCTCGAAAGGGTTTCGCTCTAAGCCCGGCCAAGATGGCCAAGCCATGCGTGGAACGCCACAAGGCATCTATGGCCAGGAGCCCCCAGTAGCGTCCTTTCTCCTAGTAGCGATGCCAGGATCCCCTGGTAGCGTCCTTGCTCCTAGTAGTATGGCCAGGAGCCCCTTGTAGCGCCCTTGCTCCTAGTAGTATGGCCAGGAGCCCCCACTAGCGTCCTTTCTCCTAGTAGAGATGGCAGGAGCCCCTAGTAGCGTCCTTGCTCCTAGTAGTATGGCCAGGAGCCCCTAGTAGCGTCCTTGCTCCTGGTAGTATTCTTGGGGGGTTTGGTCGTAACTTCTGACACATCACTTTTGAGAGATCTTGAAACATTCAGGTTCTACAACACTGCTTTTGCACGCAAGGGAGGTATGGTTTCTTTCAGTTCAACCAGTCCTAAAGACTAGTCATGCGGCCCAAAGTCATCGAATGGCATGGTACTGTAACCCAAACCTCGCCTCAGCATCCCCCAAGTCGATTTTTGATATGGTCCCTGGGTTGGAAGCCCCCCAAGTGGAGCAGTAAAGAAGGCTCCCATGACACAACTCTTCCACTTGCACAAACGCCTTGATTTATTTCCTTCCTTGTCAGGCCGAAGTGTGGAAACCTGTGCGCATGGACGAAATGGAGCGCGAAAGGGGGTGTGAATCTGACGTGCGCAACGCATGCGCATGCGATCATTCACATCCAGGCCTTCCTTTGTGGGTGGTAGGGGTGCAACACTCTTGTCTTTTTGACTTGGATTCAATTACTCCCTTGCTGCCCTTGCCTCGTTCGTAATGGAAATGTGCCACTTGTCTAGTGGTACCTTGACAAGGTATACAAGCCCGCGATTGGGGAACGCCAGTGGTACGTGGGTGTTTTTGGCTAGCCCTGCGTTCTGATCATTTTCTGTCGTAGGGGGCCATCGGTCATTCATTCGACAGTGGAAGTCTTTGGTTGGTGGAACATCTCCAAGAAACGAACTTCTGGCAAAGTCACTAATTCTGAACAGGCTTTTGGGCTTCTTTTTCCCGGGCGATGTCAGTTCTGACAGATCTGACCCAGAGGATTTTCCCTTCAACAACTCGGCCACGACTGGAAGGTCCTTTTTGGTCCTCATCCGCTTCGTCATTGGTTCCACCACCGACCAGACCGGGGTGTCGACCGCCGTCGGGTGAGTCGTGCACGACTCGGCACGGGAGCAGCGCAGCGATCCCTTCGGTGAAGATCTCGATGTTTGAGGTGAGAAAGGCCAGGTATGCCGTTTTTCCATACCCAAGACAGACCGTGACCTATCTGGATTTTTCACGGAGGGCCACTTTTGGCTTGCGGGTGGCACCCTGAAGAGGACGACATGGCGACTGGAGTATCCCCGGAAATACTCACGCTCTGTGCCTCGAGCGCAGTCCCAGTCCTTTGTTCCAGACCAGTTTCACCCACACCCCGAAGCCTTCACTGATCTTCCGCTCAGAGCTTGCACTCAGAAGCTACCTATAAACATGGGACGGCGGGAAGACATTGGCATGGCCATTTTCCGGCTCTCACTTGCCCCTTTAAAGTGGACGGCGGAAATCAGCAGGCTGTCAACTGACAGACTGTCTTCGAAGTTCGAAGAGATCTCGTGATCCTCAAACCCATTCGCAATGACCAGAAATTGAAAACAACTTCCTGGCTTTACCTTTGCACGTTTCGGGACTGGCACATGAATTTCTGATCGCTTTGGCTTGGCTCCAGTAGCTCTGAAAAAAAGACCCGCGAGAAGGCGTGTTGTCCACGTGGAAGGCTCACTGGACCGGGGGTCGTGGTGAGAAGAACAAAAGAAAGGGACAAGGGAATAAGAAAGACTAATATCATGTGCTACAAGATTATATACTGTACAAGTATAAGTTGTTATATTTGAACATCAAAGAAGAAGGATAAGAAAACTGAAGGGAAGGGCCTTTTTCAATAAGGCCCACTCTGAAGGGGCTTCCCGCCTTGTCTTCCTCACTCTGTTCAACGGTATATCCAAAGATAGCTTTGAACAGCCATCTCCTGGGGTGTCAACTTAGTAACTTAGTATTTATCACCCAGGCTTCTGGAAGAGAGTGACAACCTTTTCTCGTTTACAGAGCCCAGACACGTCTCTTAAGGGACACGACCTTCCTCGCCACGGCAGCCCTGTCATCGGACGGTGCGACGGTTGGACTTGCACAGCACTCCCGAATGGGACTGCTATGTGTTTCAGGATCTGACGTGGAGCATGGGTGACCCACTGAAACATGAAAAGGCATGTGACATCCAGCGGCGGCGGTTCGCCGCAAGGAACCACGGTGACCTCCTATGAGTCCAGTCCGGTCTGCCGTGAGTTCTCCCCCCACAAGTTCCTTCATGTCGACCGGTGAGAGGCGTCCACCCGGACGGTGATGGCCACACGCCCGAGCTGCGTCCAGGCCATGAGCAAGCGAAGCCTGGAAGAGGCACCACACCGGGAACGAAGATCGGAGATCCACGGCATTTGGTGGGAAACAGAACCCAGACGTGACGGGTTGCTGACTGGAATAGGACTGCCGAGAAAGGCCAGGGGTGGTGCCAGGGGGTTCAATGTAGGCATATATTCCAGTCCCATGGAGTGTATGGGGAAGAAGGGGTCTATGCCGGTGTCAATATGTTTTGGTCGCAATGGCCTCCACCCTAGAAGCGATGGCCTCCAACCGAATAGCTTGCTGGCCTCCACAGTAGCGATAGCGTGTTGGGAGGAGTGGGGTTCCCATATCTTTTTGGTGGAAATGCCCTTTCTGAGAACATTCTTGTTCGTGGCTTCCCCTCGTGCTCGCGAGTTCTTCAGATCGGGACTGCATGACGAACAAGTCACTGCGCCCCAGGTCGTGATCGTTGTTCCTTGCCGAATGCAGATTCACCTGGCTGTAGTGATTGGTGATTTTACCCTTACATGGTCAATCTCCCCATTTCAGGAACATGATCTATGAAAAGTATGAAGTGTTTGCCAATGACAACTAAATGATATACCTCCCCTGCACAGGACCACATGGACCCCCCAAAACCACGGTCGGGTTGGTATTCGGAACATGGTCGAAACCACAGGTCAATTCTCCGGTTCTATGTGGTCCGTTTGTGGGGGAGTATCTGATATTGGTAGCCTGTATAATCCCTGGAAGCAAGACCCTTTTAAACAATACACTCCCTGAAACAATCATGGAAGTGGAACATAGGCCCCTGGAAGACTATTTTCTTCTACAAGTGAGGCCTGCCCAGCTTCCATGATTGTTTGAGGGAGGGTAATTGACCTGGTATGCAAAAGTGTTTGCTCCTTTTTCCGCAGCTTCGTGACTCCGGCCCAAAAGCTCTTTGTGGGGGACGGGCGAGTGTCGCTCTCTCGGGTGGGGGTGGACAGGGTGATCCGGGCGAAGCCTGAGCCTTTTCAGTCGGTGAAAGGAGGTGGCAGGGAAGAAGCACCTATCTCAGTATCACCTCCGATTTGGTCGTTCTGATTGGGTGATGGTGTGGGGTTCATTTTTTGAGTCCTACGCGTAGGCGACGTGGCTGTTCACAGTGTTTGATGTTTTTGCATGTATTTGCACTGGACTCAAGGTGTCATTTCACAGACTCTTTGTCCATTTCGCATCGAATTTTAAGGCTATCAACAGCCAAGGATAGTTCATGATAGTTCTGGTGGTTCAAACCGAAAGTCAAGACAGACCTGACCTTCATTTCTTCATGATTTGAATCGGACACGCACCTAATCTCAGTGGCCTTCCTGTTCTGCTGCAGGGCGGGACCACGGTGGGCCAGGCGTTGGGTTTCGGTTTGGTCAGTGGAGCGTGGGCGGAATTGGGTCCACGGCAGTCACAGGATGACCCAGGATGACCCAGGAGTTGTCTCAGAATCGGAGCAGTTTTCCGGATGTTCCACGATTTTCATAGGTGCGCATGGCCTTGCAGGCGAGATTTAAAAGGATAATGTTCCATTTCCTTTCTGACCAAGCGACGACGTAGAAAAATCCGGGAATGCATGGACGGCAGCTTCACGCATAGAGGACCCTGCTATTTGCCAAATGGTTCTATAGAAGTCCCTGCGGCATGGTGGATCGGTTTTGCTGGCCTTTTGGAACAAGTATAAACCATGTGGCTATGGTTGTGGTTCACCTGAATTGACCTACCTCTCCGTCCTGAAGGAAGAACGCGGTTTTCGGATGGGTCGGACTCCAGGTGGGTCACGACCCGTCGCCTCCATTTTTCCAAGGCTGCAAGCACAAAGTGAGGGGAAGTTATCAAGCACAAGGATCATTCGTTCGTGGAATTACCCATCCCCTGCTTGAAGATCATCGCATGTGGCGGGAAGTTCCGTTCAGTTGCGCCACCAGTTACGGCACCGCGCACCTCGCTGGTGGTTTTCGCACGGGCACCCGTTCGTCGTCTGCGCCCTGCGGTCTTCGCGCACGAAGACGACCGCGGATGGACAGAACTCGACGTCGGCCGAAGGGGCGAAGGGATTTTCCATCCCAGCCATCCGGGGTCCCACATGGGACCGGGATGGCGCCTCCGGAAGCTTTTGCGCTCCTTCATGGGAGGTATCAAGAGTTGGTGCTTTCGTATTTCCGATCGGATCACCATAGATCACCCTATAGATCCTATAGGAAGCAACAGTGATATGAGTTGAAGACAAGCGCGTTGTAAATGTAGTAACCATATCTTGGCCAACATGCGCATTCGACACCGTGACACAACACGCTCTTTGGTTTGTGGCATATCGGCATATCAGAGGGACCCGCGCTTTTTTGGCAGATTCTTAGGTAAGTCATTTCCACCAGTACCATTGGGGGGACTCTCAGTTTTTTTTTTTGCGATTTAATCCATCAGTTCTTGATGAGTCAGTTCTTCTATGCTGCAGGGTTTCAGTCTGTTGAAAACGTCGATGTTTCTTCAAATGTTCTTAGGTGGTGTTGCTTGGGAGTCCGCTTGACATGCATCCTCCACACTAGTTCAGAAGGAATATGATGATGATGATGATGATGAGGAGGAGGAGGAGGAGGAGGGAGGACGAAGGATGGATGATATGGATGATACGGATGATGAACGTCGATTGAACGCTGATGGATGATTTCTGCGGTCTTCAACTTCACCACCGTCTTCCAAGTGCCTTGCTCCTTCAGCGGATCTTGGTTCGTCGCCGAGCGTTTGGCTCTTTCCCCGCTTGGACCACCAACCTCACTACCGCTTCAGGGGCCCAGACCGCCCAAGGCAGGCGGTGGGAACCGGCGGGGCGGCAAGCCGCCATGGGTTTACGCAGGAGTGTCCATGGGGGGCGAACTTGGCTCCCAGTAGTCCACGAAGCAGCAAATTGGGGGATTTGTTGGGTTCTTGACACCACCTTCAGCCGCTGGTGATTTGGACACTGGAAGCCCGTCCGACCCCGCCAGAACCGCACGTACGCGGTTTCTTCCCTTCCAATCACGGTGGTTTCGGAGTTCGTGCGGATGGAGTTGCAGAGAATCTGAGATGGGAGGAGTTCGCCTGTAAAGCCTACACCTTTGGGACTGGGGTGTGGGTGCGAAGGCTTGAGTCGCACTTGTTTCAACGGGGGGGGACGTGGGGGACGTCGTGGGTGTCGGGTCCAGTTAATCCCGAAGCCCGAGGAGGTGCGGCAGGAGCCCTGTGGAGTGTGTTTTTCACTGGACCTGCACGGGTGAAACATCAAACTATGGCACCTTTGACAGGTTCACTACGCGCGGCGCGACACGCCAAGCAGCTGGGACAACTCGTTGTTTGGGTCGGGATGGTCATACGCGAACGCGAACGTTTTCTTGAGCCGACCTGTAGGCGAACGCGAACGCTCCGTTTCCAGGCATATAAGAACAATGACTTCCTGAACTCCACCGAGGCACCTGGGAGACCCGCCGCGGTCCCACGGCGATCAAGACCACGCGGGTTGTCTCGGTGGTGTTCCTTCGCACGTCATGGGTTGGCATTGCGCTCTGCCAGCTCTGCTGCATGCTATCAAGAGGCGCCAATCATCGACGGTAGCCAGGGTTTTCGACCGTCAGATCCCCAAAGCTGCGAGTTAATTAGTCTAGTTTGAGCATCCAGACCTTTTCCAGTTTCCTGCATCCAGGTCAGACTGGGTGAACTGACCGTGGACAAGTGGACAACACATGACTTCTATATGTGGATGTGTTTTTTTTCTCCTCGCGGTTTGAAAGCAAGTCGAACCCATCAAGTCGTTTCCCCCTGCGGTCATCCGACGTCCGGCTCTCCCCATCTCTTTTCACCGGTGTCTGGGGCCCCGCGGTCGAAGCCTCAGGACCTGGGGGGGGATCAAAAGAAATACGACAGAGGATGATGGCAACCTCCTTGTCATATGATTTGGAGGGGGGTGGGCGGCTCAAAGCAGGAGTGCAGTTGATATACAAAACGTATTGCTCATCATTTAAACATCGCTATTGTGTTGGAGGCCATCGCTAGTAGATTGGAGGCCATTGCTATTAGGCTGGAGCCCATCGCTATTAGGTTGGAGGCCATCGCTATTAGGTTGGAGGCCATTGCTATTAGGCTGGAGCCCATCGCTATTAGGTTGGAGAGGCCATCGCCGCTATTAGGTTGGAGGCCATCGCTATTGGAGGCCATCGCTAGTAGGTTGGAGGCCATCGCTATTGGGTTGGAGGCCATTGCTATTAGGCTGGAACCCATCGCTATTAGGTTGGAGGCCATCGCTATTAGGTTGGAGGCCAGGTTGGAGGCCATCGCTATTAGGCTGGAACCCATCGCTATTAGGTTGGAGGCCATTGCTATTAGGCTGCAGCCAATCGCTATTAGGTTGGAGGCCATCACTATTAGGTTGGAGGCCATTGCTATTAGGCTGGAGCCCATGGCTATTAGGTTGGAGGCCATTGCTATTAGTATTTGTTGCAGGCCCGGCTCATCCGCATCATGTGCGAGCTGGAAGAGCCCAAGGTGACGCGGCTTTCGCGCGCGAAAACAACACGCTTTTGGGGTGGCTGGTGACAGGTTCAACCTTGCGCCCTTGTCTTTCGCCGGTCGGGGGAAAGATCGGAGGCCATTGTTGACCATAAGTCTCCGTTTTTTTTTGATTGTTATGACATGTTATGACCAGAGCTCGATGGTTGAAGACTTGTACCACTTTGCTAAAAATTGCGAAAAGTCTTCACATCCCCTAGATAGGAACTTACCAGCCAGAGGTTTCCGTGGAAGCCGGGACTCTGTAGCAGGGCTGCCATGCAAGAAACACAAAACCACCTCGCTCCAACTTCCACCTCCCTCAGCGCTCGCAGCCGCGGATCCGCCCGTCTCGTGGCGTCAGCACGTCGGTTTCTCCCGTGACCGTCGCCGCGAGCGGCGGCGGAAGGAGCGGCGACTGAGGACCGGTTACGCACCGAGGCGGTGGACAACATCGCCGGAACCCAGACAAGACCGCGGGGACTGAAGGGGGTGACACGCGGAGGGTGATGTCGTCGAAGAAAGACGAAGATGGGGAGGGTGTTGCGTAGGTTGCTGACAGAAGATGGAGGGTGGTCCCCAAGCTGGTGTCCAATCCAAGCAAATAAAGGCACTTGGCTTCAGGAACTTTGAGATCTTCGATGGATTTCATATGATTTCATGGAGTTTAGCAGTTTTTACTCTCCAACACCCTTCTGACACCAGCCACCGTAGCCATATCAGCTGCCTCTTCGGGATCCAACTCCATCCTTCCTCCTTCGCTCCAAAAGGTCCGATCGCTCCATATCGCTCCCAGTGCCCCCCCCCGAAATCTTCAGGAGAGGTTCATAGGGTATGCGACCCTTTTCAGAAGAACTCCACTCACCTGCGGGGGTACCCACCTTGGGATCGTCGGGTCTGCGAGGGGTGCCGCCACCCGCCACCCGTCGCGGACGGTCCGCGCTCCGAGGTGATGTTCTTCGGCTCCGCGCGGGCCAAGCCAAAGGACCAATACGAGGCACACCGCGCCGGCCGACGAAGGCATCGGTGGCACCGGTGGCACGCGGCCGGTGGTTGGGCTTGTCCGGTGTCCGTCGTTGAGGGTTTCGGGAGGTTTTGGAGAAGATTGGTTGGAATATATGGCTTTGGATTGGGGGATTTCTGGGGTGTTTCAGTCAGCAACACTATAGGCCAATATGGGGTGTGCAGGGGCTGGTTTTTTTTCCAAGTATCCTCAAAGAGCATTGATACCAAAAACATCCTGAACAATTCAAGAAGGCTTTCAGGAAAACGCTCAGAGCGATTCATGAATTGGGTGCGTTTCTCCTTTTGGAGAAACATGCCCATCATCTCATCCCTTCTCAATCCCATCGTCCCTTCTCACCTCGTCTTCGTTCTTCGTTCTTCAGGCCGCCGTGAAGGAGGCAGAGGCCAAGGTGGCGGCCAGCCACGGTGCCCGGGACCGCGCGCGGGCCGGACTGGCACCGTCGCCACGGTCGCCTGACTGATCGACACCCGGTGGACCAGCTGCCACCGCCTCAGCGAACTGGAGTCCTTACTCAGGAGTTCCGTGGGTTCACCTGCAATACAACACCCAAACGAAAAATATGGGACACCGTGCCACTATACTCCTTTTTTTGGGGGGAATTGGGGACACCCCACACCAATCCCAAAGGTGGGGACTGCTTGGTGGGGTTCCTTCTTTGCGCAGAAGAACCGTCGGCCACCCATGGCCACCCCCGGGCCACTGGGCCTTGCAAGAGGAACTCTCATGGAGGTACCATCAACATCCGCGAGGCCTTGTTCGGTGATGTCCGACAAGAACGAACTGGTGGAACCATTGGTCTGACTGAAGATGAGTGGGCCCACCACGCACTCCAGGCTTTCTGCTGCCAAGACCATTGTCCTTATCACAGAGAATGCGCAAGAACATGCCCAATCCAGAGAACTTTGCCAAAGGCCACCCTAAGAAGAGACACCCGGATTACATCAAGTATTCCAAGTCTACTATCCCAAATCTCCATCTTGGTGGCTCAAGTCCAAATCATTGGTACCAGGACCCTCCTGTCGGGGTGTCCAATGGACTACCCCAGACTACCTATAGGCTTCCAGACAGGGCACCCCTTAGAGGGTCCTGGTATGTAACGGTGTTTGGGGGGGGGTGGACTGCCTCAACATGACCACCTTCCCGGCGCCGAGATCCGGGCGACGCGAAGCTGCAGTCGGCGCTGACGCGGCTGAAGAAGCAGGAGTTCCTGGTGCGGATGCCTCAGGGGAACAGGTGGTGCGATGGGGGTGACCCAGCGTGGCTAGGGCTAGGGCGAATTACAGCGTGCGCGCTTGGTGTTTTCTGCCATGGTCAGGCAGGCGTGCTGGTCTAACATGCTTGTTTTTCTACACTCCGCCCTGCTTCCTCGCACTCCCTCCTCTCCTCCTCCTGCCATGTCGTCATGTCACAGCGAGTGCCAGCACACCGTAGAGAGCTCCAGATCAGTCTGGGCACGTACGGACCTGCACACCATCGAGGGTGCCAGAAGATAGGCCAAATAGAAATGCCAAGAGATATGCCAAGTTTGAACGCGAGAAGATATGCCAGAAAGAGTGTCAGAAGATATGCCAGACAGAATGCCAGAAAATATGCCAGACAGAATGCCAGAAGATATGCCAGATAGAATTCCAGACAGGATGTCAGAAGATCCGCTAGATAGAATGCCAGAATGTATGGCAGATAGCGTGCCAGAAGACATGCCAGATGGGACGCGACAAGATATCAGAACAAATGCCAGAGGGATGTGCCAGTTAGAATACCAGAGAAGTTGCCAGAGGATATGCCAGTTAGAATGCCAGAAGTAGATACTGTATGCCAGGTAGAATGCCAGGTGACTTGCCAGAAAGGACATCAAAAGATATGCTATCTGCTATCTATTGCCATCTAGATTGTTGGTAAATTTGCCACATGGAAGGCCAAATCATATGTAAGAAAATGTCCGAGCATATGTCGGAACAAGTGGCAAGATTGATGGCAGAACAAATATTGGAATACGTGGCGGAACACATGTCAGAACACATATTAGAGCCGAAGTCGGACCACATGTCACAGCACAGTCAGACTTCACGGCCAGCTGCCAAAACACATTCCAACACGGAGCACAGTCCAAACGATTCCCAGCCTTGATGATGGATGATGCGTCAGAACACATAATTACCAGACTTGATGCCAGAATACGTGAACATTGTGGCAATGCGCGTGTCACTATTGATACCTGTGCCCTGCCTTCCAAAATAGCCTCTCAGGCTGGGGGGTCGCTCGAAGTAAAGCAATTTTTCAAGGCTTGGTTAATGAACTTTGGTGGGAAACCTTTTGACCCAAACTGAGGCATAGGATTTGACAGGTCTTGGCTCAAGTATGCTCAAGTGACGTTGAAAAACTTTATAGTTCTATGTTGACGATGGCGGTGATGTTTGTGCTCAAATCGGATAGACATGTTCCCAAGTATCCCGAAAGAAGGGACTTACTCTTCAATTTGCGGCGTCGCCATGCCACCTTTGCCTGGTAATGCAGAGTGTTGTCCACTATGGGCCTGGTGTTGATTCCCAGTCCCAGACTCGGCCTGTCCATAGTGGGTGGACAGCGGCCACTTGACATATGAGGTGGTTCCCTCAAAATTACACCACCGTAGACCCCAAACAGTTTGTGTTTTTCAACATCGAAACTAGAGCTTGGACAAAGGATTGCGCAAGGCAGAGGCGGCCACAGCAGCCCAGAGCTGGGAGACAAATGTAAAGGGTTGCAAGGCAGAGACGGACACAGCCGTACAGAGCAGGCGGACATATCTTAAGAAAAGAATTCAGAAGCCCTAAACCTTTTGGGGAATTATTCTTCAAGTGCGAACATGATGCTGGTCATGCTGCTCAATCAGCGGGGAGCTGACCACGTGAGGACAAGAAACAAAAGCATGAGGAGCGAAGGATGTGACATGAAATTGATGTTTGGGCCTGACGTATGCCCTCCGTCCCAACTGAACAGAGAGATCGCTGCCACGCCGCCGAAATCCAATCCGGTCATTCATCCAACGCTTGCCCGAAAAGGAAAACAAAGCTGAGAGAGTTACACACTGCGGCAGGAATGCAACCCCGGAGACAGTCACGCACCCATTTCAAAGGAGCAAGAACCTTTCACAGGTGAACCTGTTCCAGCGGACAGGGCAGAAAACACCAGTGCAGGCACCAAACCTGAAAGACAAAAAGAAAGAAATCACATGGGAGACAAATGAATAGAAATGCTACATGGCCAAAAGAGATGTGGTAGACAAATGAATAAAAATGCTACATGGCCAGCAGAAAAGGGCGGACACCAGCAGTGACAGATCCGCGAAACACATGAATAGAAATGCTGCATGGCCAGCGGAAAAGGGCGGACACCAGCAGTGACAAACCTGAAAAACAAATGAATAGAAATGTTGCATCGCCAGCTGAAAACGGCGGACACCAACAGCGACAGACCTGGGAGACTAATGAATAGAAATGCTGCATGGCCGACGGAAAAGGGCGGACACCACCAGACAAATGAATAGAAATGCTACATGGCCAGCGGAAAAGGGCGAACACCAGCAGTGAGAGACCTGGGAGACAAACGAATAGAAATGCTACATGGCCAGCGGAAAAGGGCGGACATCAGCGGAAAAGGGCGGACACCAGATGGCCAGCGGAAAAGGGCGCGAACCCGACCGGAAGCACTCAGCCTGGGAGACAATGAAAAGAAGTGGGAGACAAATGAAAGGAAGTGGGAGACAAGCCA